GGAGGCGGTGAGTGGAATAGGAGATATTTTCAATTTATGTAAGCATTCTATTCTATTTCTCATCATACACTTATCCATCAATTTTATCATCAACTAGAGGCCTGGTGCATGAAAATTTGTGCACTTGGGGGATCCCTCAGCCTGGCCTGCACCCTCTTGCAGTCCAGGAGCCCTCAGGGGGTGTCTGACTGACGGCTTAGGCCCACACTCCACTGGGAGTGTGGGCCTAAGCTGCAGTCTGGCCTCCCTCTGTGGGAGGTGACCAGCGGGCCTATCAGGGGGGATGACACCAGCTGATGAGCGGCCAGCTCCACCCCCCAAGGGCTGATCTCAATTTCATGCAGGTTGTTTTATTCTTTGTTTCTTACAAAGGTAAAAATACATGTGCATCCATATTTCATGTATGAACTATCATAACTCCATAGTGTCTTATAAGGAATTATTTAAACTTTTCACACTGAATTGTGTGTGTGTGTGTGTGTGTGTGTGTGTGTGTGTGTTGTGGGGGTGGGGGGGTGTAACAGGGAGCAAAGAGTTCTACAAAATCCATTGTTTTCTGAGCCCTGATTGCCTGTAATAAGTTTTTTGTTTGTTTGTTTTTTTCATTCAGGACATGGCAGGTGGCATATTTATAAGTTAGATGTTAAAGCTTGTATGAACTCTTAGAATCAATTCCATAGTCTCTTTGAATAGGATTCTCACTGAGCACATTTCATCTTCAATTTGAAAACTTGGAGTGCCAATGTTTCTGATATTTGAAGACAGAATGCAGGGGCTATAAGAGAAGACAGGCAGTTTGACAATGATATCCCAGGTTCTCATTCTGGTTTATTTTCACAAGAAAGTTGCTTAGATTCTCAAGTGGATGTGAAGAAACAGAGAAAATGCTCCTAATAGGTGAGAGTAGCTGAGCACATCTGCAAACCAGCCCAAAGACCATACAGATCTTGGGGTTTGCAATCATCTGAGTCTGCTGAGTTTTAGAAAGGAATATAAAGAATATTATTGGAAAAAAGATTAATTTATTGGGGAAAAGTCCTGAGATAAGCAAGGTTTCCCTCTAACTTCTCTCTTTATACTTAATTTGGAATGTTATCTTCCTATAAATAACCACAGGTGTCAGGAACTATGAAGGGTCTAAGATTTACTCTACTTGCAAGCTGCCATGTTTCATGAGTGCTGCCAGGAGACATGAGACTCCTGGGTCAGAGAAAAAGAACTTTCTATTTATTACTCACAGCAATAACAGTAGCTAGTATATCAGAATTTTTCACCATAAGCATCAATTCCCACAGGGTTATGACAGCTACACATGCAGTGGTTTGCATTAGATGAGAGAAACCTTGTGCTTACGGAGCCCAACTCTTTTATAATGGACACTAAGTGCACCTGCTGTGCTGTGGAGACATTATCTTTATTATACTGGAGTGTAAGTATGCCTACCTTTGCTTCAGAGAAAGATACTGTCTCTACTTTCCAAGGTGGTAGGCAAACTTGATCTCTATACTTTGAGCTATTTCCTACAAGCATCTTCAAAATAGATCCAGAGACATTGAAGCATGCAATAGACTGACATTTCAGAGATTAACCAAAGAATTTATGTGCATATACGCATAGCCCATGGAAAGACAATAGTGTAGGGAAGGCCTGAGGGGGGTTGGGGGGTGGGAGTGAGGTGGAGGGGGTCCATTGGGGGAAAAGGGGGTACATCTGTAATAGTTTCAACAATAAAGATATATTTTAAAAAAGACATTTGGGACAAAAGGCAGTCAGTGCATTGATCACAAGACATGCACAAACACAAGAGAGCCATGGAGAATTTTATTCCAATAGAATATTTATTTCTTTCCCTTACTGTGTGTGTATATCTGAATGTCCTTCATCTCTTTCTTACCCCTATATACACTTACACAGCCCCCAAAACTTTGAGTTTGTTTTCTGCTCAAAATCCTTAGGACACTTATCAGTGATGTGGTGGGGCAATATCTACTTATGTGCATCTCAGGCAAGTGCCAATTGGTACAATGCCTAGGAATGAAGTCACATGGGGGTGTAGGTAGATAGAAGGAGCTTCCACCACTCCTGATTTCTCATTTCCATAGCGACTAGTGATAACGTGTTACCACATTCCTGAAACATAGTAAACTCTCAGTAGATGTTAGCTATTGTATCAGTCAAAATTGCTAGGCTTTTGATGCAGTAACAAATTATCTCAAAATATCAAAGAGTGTTTTTGTCTTTATTGTGCTACTTGCCCCATTGCAGGTGTCCTGGAGGCTCTGCTCTGCATTGTCCTTACTCCAGGACATAAGCTGACAGGCTAGCCATTGTCTGAAGCATTGCTGGTCTCTGTGGAGAGGAAAATAACTCTCTGGAGAGACTAGTGCAGGCTATTAAATGCTCTGGTCCAGAAGTCACACACATCACGTCAGTACACAGCTCACTAGCCAGATCTGGTGACCTGGCCGCACAAGGCAGCCAAGCGGTGCAATGCTACCATGTGCCCTGAAGGGACAGAATATTTGGGGAACACCATAACATTACCATACGTTTTATTGTTAATATTAAAAATTATAATAAAAACATATCCTGTGGCAGAGGACACCATCGCTGTCTATTCAGCATACTTGTTTTTTTGTAATAGAACCCCAATTTTGTTCAAGTCTCTCTCCTTTCCCTCCACAGTCACAGGGCCTCAGGGGAACATGACTGACACTCTCAACACCAGGGTGGGCCTGATTGGTCAAAGGGCACTGCCATCTCCCTTGCTGGTGGTTGATTTAGAAATGAGCACATGGAATTCAGGTCAATGGCTTCCAAATAGGGGGTTCAAGTTCTTGGGGGCTTAGGGAAAATTTATTTCTCAGTCTTCTTAAAGAGCTTCCAGAAGTGACTTTTTCCTTCTTCTTGTGGACATTATTGTCATGCACAGACAGGAGGCCTGGAACCAGCTTGAGAATGAAGCTTGCAAAAAAGACTCACAGAAAAACAGACCTAGAGCCACTGGACTGAGAGTGACTTCTAAAAACCTCTGGACTTCCCTCTGTGGAACCTCACTATTGAGGCCAACAGGATGAGGATTTTTGTTACTTTGAGCTGAAAGCAACTTAACCAATCTACTATCTCCCATTAACTAAAGGGTAATGTGGAGTGGGGGAAGGAAAGAGTTGGGACAACTAGCATCACAGGTGACAAGAACACAGCAGTAGGAACAATCAGAAAGTGTGCATCAGCAAGCCTGTCCGCCACCCCCAAAAACCTAGCGTGAGCCCTGTCAACATAGGCATTTTGCTGGCCCACTCTGCAACTGTAGTCTTAATCTCTTAGGAAAGATCTATTACACTGTCTGGAAGAAACTGCTATTCTTAAGACCCAGGATTAACCCCAGATTTTGATCTTCAGCACAGATTTCCTATGAGGCTTTTTTTTAGCCCTCTTGAGGGATGTGCCTGAAGGGTTTAACTGCAATTTCCAGGAGCAGGTCATAAGGCAGTCCTGTAACTTGACTGCAAACTTTCTGATTGTGTCGGCTGAGCTCCTGCATGCAGACCTGTCCAAGCATGATAGGGGAAGCCTTTCCATTTCCACAGATTCAGGTCCAGAACATCCTTGGATGGTTCAAATACACTTTATGTCATGGCTAAGCAAGCCTGTTGGTTTAATTTTTTGGAGTTGAGTTTCTGTAAGCCTTTTCTTACATCATCTTTTCCAAGGCTTATCAGGTTAGGGTCAGAAGGCATGTCTTAGATCAGTATCCCCAGCAGGAAAGGGCTCTACCAGCCTCTACTGCATGGCTGATCTTTTATTTCCTGTGCTGTGCAGAGAATGACTTTTTTTTTTTTTTATCCTGCCATGTTAAATACAATTCTGGTTTAGAGTCAGGCAAGTTTTTATACGGAGGATAAAGGGGCTGTTTTTAATAAACAGGGTGGAATGATAAACATCTCTGCAGTAGCTCAGTGATAGAACAAAACACCAGGAACTCCAGCTCTGTTGAGAATTATTGTCTGCTGCATAAACAACTTAGCAGTTTGCTGTCTCACCCAGGAATAGAACTGGAGGAAACAGGCTTAAATTGAGGCACATGGGCTTTGAGTTAGATTTGGCTTGAAAGAAGTTCAAGAAACTTTCAAAACAGCATAGATTGTGTTGGGTTGTGGTCTGTCTCCCGCAGCTGTAGCGAGTGTAAGTGAGGGGAGTGGACCACTCCAGGACACTCACCTGTCTTGTGGAATCTGGAAGGATCACTAGATCAATTTTGCAACCGGTAGGGATGGCTTTTACAAGGTCACTCCGGTGGTCTTGTGCTGGCAAGAAAGCGAATGTTTACTCTCTGAAGCAAATCGGTAACAAGACCCTTGAAATGCTAAGCAGAAGGTCTTCCTGAGGTTTTCTTTTTTCCTTTCTTCACTAGCTAATTTCTATGTATCTGTCACAACTTAGTCCCTTGTAGGTGTCCCCTGGCACCTCTGTTTTCATGTCTCGGCTTCAGTGCTGGTACAAGGCACCATTGGAGGCACTTGAGCCCGGCCCCTAGCGCATCTGGAAGTCAGAGGTTGTGAGATTAGCTTTGAGAGGCACACCTGAGGGCCTCCACGGATGGCAGGTGGCAGAAAATAAGGTAAGCAAGCCTGGGGATCCTGGGGATTACTTAGAAAGGAAACAAAGGGCAAAGGCAATTTCCTTTCAGTCAAGCAGTGGAGGTTGGCCCATAAGGGGCTTATAATCTCTTGGGAAAAACAAAATAGAAAAATAACTCAGACATCCTCAGACTTTACCTGTTGGTGACCACAAATAATGAATATTTCCTTAGTTATTTCAGATTCAAAGGTGTTGGTCTATAACGTCCTTTTAAAAAATTTAAAAAAGGACTTTCTACCTAGTGTCTGGCACAGGGCCTAAGGAGCTCAGGAAAAGTTTGTTGCAAAAAATGGTGAAATGCTTATGATGGTGCACAAAGGGACCATCCCAGCATCCATAGGCTGATGACAACATTGACCATGTCTGAAGCGGTCCTCCTTCCAGTAAGTGATTAACTGAGAGGACGATGACTGAAACTTTCATTTATAACTAAATCAATAGTCAATATTTATTAACCGTTTACCATGTTTGAAGTATTGTTCTAAGTTCCTGACAACAATCCTCAGAACAGGTGCTCTTATTACCTCCAGTTTATAGGTGAGAAAACTGAGGAACAGAAAGGTTAAATAGCTGGCCCAAAGTAACACAGCTTTGAACCCAAGCAGGCTGGCTCTATAACCCTGAGAGGATGGAGAAGCAAATAAACTTCATTGTTAAACTAGAAACAGGCTGCAGCCAACAGGAGGCTAGGTGAGGCAGAGTGGGCAAAAGTTAAGTTGACAAAAGATAAAGACTTACTACCAGTTTTAATAGCCAAAAAAGTTGTAACCTTGTACAAGTTAAATTTGATTTAACTTCTGGTGCAGAGGGATAAGTTATTCACACTCAAAGTTTATAATGCATTCTCAAAATTGGTCTATGTCAGGTGCCTCTCCTATTATTTATTTACTTGTGTAACTTTCTCCCCATACCCTGGGAAGGACTTGACCTTGGGCAAGGCAGCTCTGTGTAGCAGAAGGGATCCCCAAAAGGGTTGCCAGCTGAAGGCTGCCTGCTGACCGTACTCCCAGCAGCAGGGACAAGTTCCCCAGGGAAGGGGATCTGGGCAGTGCATCTTCCTGTCCATCGAAGTGACGGAACTCAGCTATCAGTTCTAATTGTCGGTTGATTCTATCAACTTTTCTAGATAAATGTTTTCATTGTTTGCAAACAATGAGCTTCAGCTCTTCCCATCTTATTCTTAGATCTCCTTTTCTTTCTTTATGGTGTTAATGAGAAACTCCAGTGATATGTTCAGTAGCAACAGTGACAGTGGTCATATTTTCATTATTACTAGTATTTAAAGGAATACAATAAAAATGTCTTCATTAAGTGAGAAAAAAAGTTGCCTGTGCCAAAAGAGGCAGCAGCATAAAGGAAATAGGTACATGGCCTCCTACAGCAGCTGCTTTGAAGGAGATAAAGAACTTCTGTTAAGCTAGTTCTGCCCTACCTATATTTTCCATTTTTATTAGAACATTCAGTTATCTATTCCTGTTGGTATCCAAACTACTGTTCACTTTCAAGGTATTAAAGAAGGTTTAATCAATTATAAAATTATTCAGAATAAGGAGAGGAGGATGAAATATAGCTAAAGAATCATCTCTGTATTTAGGGAAAAAATTCAATTGATACCTATTTAGTTTAGTTCAGATGTTTGAGACATGCATAGTGTTATAAATAGTATCAAAGAATATTTTAGCCTCTAGGAATTTTTCCAAATGACTTTTTTTTTTTTTTTGCTAACCCATTCTGGTGTGTGTGTGTGTATGTGTGTGTGTGTGTGTGTGTGTGTGTGTGTGTGTGTGTTTTCTAAAAGCTGAGGAAGAATCTGGAACCTGTTTTAAAGTTTTGTTAAAACTCATGCTTGCCACAGTCTGATTTCTTTCAGAGTTTGTCCATCTTCCATGATTAAATATAATTCTATAATAATATTCATGGCCACGTGTATTTCTGTTTAGAAGTAGGGGAATAGAGAAGTTGTCTTCTAGAATTTCTTTAATTACACACACAACTCATATATGGCTATCTCTGGCCCACCTTATTTGTCTCTCTTTTTAAAAATCTTATCCATATTCCCCTGGCCTGAGTTTTTATTCTTCTAATCTGCTCAGACCAGAATGACTTAAGCAATAAAAAAATAGTAGCAATAATATGTATTCTTTATTTACAGGGCAACTTTCTTTTACAGATTCTAAACTTCAGACTAGGGAGTGAGAACAGAACCTTCTAAATATTTACGGGTTTGATCTAGGTTCCTTGGTTGAAGTCATTTAATATGGATGGAAATACTTGGCATAACTCTCAAGGTTATAGTTTTATAAGGGCCACTTGTTATTTTCATTTGTTACATAATCCATTTCACTCCTACCCGCCCCCCCCCCCAATTAGGCATTCCAGACGTGTGGACTATCAGACATTAGAGAACTCAACTTTTGAACTGAGCACATTGTCTGAGCACTGCCTTACATCTCATCACAGAGCAAGCAATAATTTTATTTCAGCAAAAGTTATCTTAATTACATGCTTTTAATCTTGGAACATTTGGGATAGAATCAGGTTAGAAAATCCCATGTTGCTGCACCCTTGCTCATGTTGATGAACCTCATAGAACACCAGCAATGTCCGGGGACACACCAGGCCTCCCTCCCCTTCTCCGTGCCACTAATCTCATTTCTTCTTATTCCCTGACAGACTCCAGCTGAGACAATGTCCCACATCTATCTTGCATAGTTTCACCCATCTCCACCCAGTCAATAAAAGCATTTATGAAGCACCTACAATGTGCAGGGGGAATTCTGTGTTTCATTCTCCACTCTGCCAATTCCTTGATTAAAAGACTAGCTCAGAATATCTTTTTAGAAAGTGTTCTCTGCTTAATGCCACCTTCTTCAATGTTTCCATTCAACATGTGTCCTCTAGTGAGCACAGCTCCGGTCCGGCACAGCCTGAGATAGTGTCACTCAGGCTTTTTGACCATGACCCATAGGAAGGAATAAATGTGACTGACACAATAATCCTGCACACACACACACATACACACACACACACACACAAACTCACAAATGAAGTTAACTAAATAAATGTTTCATGAAAGCAATTCTTACTGTGTTAGATACACTTGAGTATTTTTAATTCTAATCCTATTTCATAAAACAAAAATGCTCATCTTTACCCACGGAATTGATTTCATGACCAGCATTTTTAAAAACTCTAAGGAACCTGGGTATTTAGGAAGCATAGAAGTTAATTAGAGGTTATAAAGGATGAACCTATAATTCAAACAGAAGGTGACTTTAGAGTGTTCACAAAGTATTGTCAGAAAAGTGAAGATTGGTCCAAATAAGGTATTTGTAAACAAATGCTGTTTGACCAGATCCTCTGAATTTCTAAGAACTAATTCATTCCTTAAAACAAACTTAAAAAAAATTTATTTTTTAATTTTTTATTGATTAAGTTATTACATATGTGTCCTTATCCCCACGTTACCCCCTATCCCTCCCACTCATGCCCTCACCCCCCTGTTGTCCGTGTCCATTGGTTAGGCCTATATGCTTGCATATAAGTCCTTTGGTTGATCTCTCCCCCTTAACCCCACCCTCCCCTACCTTCCCTCCGAGGCCGACGGTCTGATCAATGCCTCTCCGTCTCTGGATCAGTCCTTGTTCATCAGTGTATGTTGATCATTATATTCCACAAATGAGTGAGATCATTTGGTGTTTATCCTTCTCTGACTGGCTTATTTCACTTAGTATAATGCTCTCCAGTTCCATACATGCTGTTGCAAATGGTAAGAACTCTTTTTTTTTACTGCAGCGTAGTATTCCATTGTGTAGATGTACCACAGTTTTTTAATCCACTCATCTACTGATCGGCACTTAGGCTGTTTCCAAATCTTAGCTATGGTGAATTGTGCTGCTATGAACATAGGGGTGCATATATCCTTTCTAATTGGTGTTTCTAGTTTCTTGGGGTATATTCCTAGAAGTGGGATCACTGAGTCAAATGTGAGTTCCATTTTTAGTTTTTTGAGGAAACTCCATACTGTTCTCCACAGTGGCTGCACCAGTCTGCATTCCCACCAGCAGTGCACGAGTGTTCCCTTTTCTCCACATCCTCGCCAGCACTTGTTGTTTGTTGATTTGTTGATGATAGCCATTCTGACAGGTGTGAGATGGTACCACATTGTCGTTTTGATTTGCATCTCTCGGATGATTAGTGACTTTGAGCATGTTTTCATATGTCTCTTGGCCTTCCTTCTGTCTTCTTTTGAAAAGTTTCTATTTAGGAACATATTTGTCAATGTTATCACCGATAAGGTTTTAATCTCCAACATTTACAGGGAACTCATACAACTAAACAAAAGGAAGATAAACAACCCAATAAAAAAAATGGGCAACGGACCTAAAAAAATTTATTTTGAGCATTAAGTCCGATCTAGACTTCAAACATACAAAAATGGATAAGATTCTTACCTACCAGGAGCTCGTGGTTTAATGGCGAACAGAGAAGTGACACAGTAATTATGGCCCAGTGTTCTAAGGACTATTACTGAGACCCACAGGGGCTTCTGTGGGAGCAGCAAGGGGGTCCCTCATTCAGAAAGGGCTGGGCAGACTTCCTGGAGCTGGTGACTCCTGGAAGAGGCTGAATGGGGAGTGACACCTCTCTAGACCAAGAAAGTGCTCAGTATTTGTGTTCAGTGGTCCTAGAACATCTTGAATCTTCAGGGCATGATGTGGGGTGCTTATGGTTGCAGTGTAGGGCACAGATGGAGAATGATCAGAGATGAACCTCTGGAGAGAGGTGAGCAAAAGAGCTTAAATTTTCTTTGGAAACATGAAGGGAATCCATTGAGGGGTTTCTGATTTTGAGAGATTCCTGAAGAAGAAGTGTGGAGGATGCTGGCCAAGAAGCCAGGCTGCAGCAGCAGTTCTATTTAGGAGGCTGGTGTTGAAAACCAGAGGAGAAATAGTGCAAAGGGCACTGGCCAAGGCAATGGTAGTGGGAAAGGAGAAGAGGGGAGACCTCTGAAAGGCACTGAGGACACAGTAGCAGGCAGGTTAAAGCAGGTCACGTCTCCAATCACTTCTAGGGTTCTGACAGGCATGACCAGTGGCGTTTGTACCACCCATGCAGACAGGAAATGCAGAGAGAGAGGACAAAGTTTGGAGAAAGAGTTCAGTGATGGACACACTGAGTTTGGAGTACCTATGATGATGCAATACCTACTTGGATCTGGAGCTTGGGAAGAGGTCTGACCTCACATTAGATGAAGCCACAAAGCAAATATATGAAGTAGGACTAGCGGAAGAATGGGGATGTGGCCCTAGGAAGGCTCCAAATTCAGGACAATTACTGATTTGCTCAAGGTCAGTTATTTGGATGGCTCTAGTTAGTGTGGGGTCAGTGCAAACAGCCCTTGTCCTCACTTCCTTACTGCCTTCTCTAAGCTGTAAATGCCACCAGAGCTCTCATGAGTAATGAAGAGTCTCTAATGTATTTATCCCCACAGTCCTTCCTTTCAGGAACCTTCTGGAGATGACACAAGTGCCAGGCAGAGGGCAAAGCTTCAACACAGCAGGACAAAGGTAAGGCTCATTAACAAAGAGTAAAAGACCAGTTCTGAAATGTTTTCTGGGCATGGTCCCAAATTCCTGACAGTCCTAATATTTTCACAAATTGGAGTGTTGTTCTAATGTCTTCCAGAGGATCATAATCTGAGTTGTGAGGGCTGTTTCTTTATGAGATTTTTAAAATTAAGTTTTTTTACTGATTTTAGAGAGAGAGGACGGGAGAGGGGGAGAGAGAAACATTGACTGGTTGCCTCCTGGACCGCCCCGTCCCCTCCTCCCCCCACCTACTGAGAATGGAGCCGGTGGCGTGGCTGAGAATCCAACCTACGACCTCTCAGGTACATGAAATGATGCTCAACCAACTAAGCCATACCAGTCAGGGCTCTTTACGAAATTTTAAGTCCTTCCAGATCGAATCACTTGACTGTCTTTGTGCCAGTCCACAGCTCAGCCTTTAGTGATGGAGGAGGGTCTAGGGAAGGCAGAAGTTCAATTTCTGTTCTAGGATCTTAGGGACAGTGAAGCTTACTGTTATGGGCTGAGTTGTGTGCCCCCAAAATTCATCTATTGAAGTCCTAACTCCCAGTACCTCAGACTGTGACTGTATTGGGAGGTAGGGTCTTTTAAGAGGTAATCAAGTTTAAAGGAGGTCATACGGGTGGGCCCTGATCTAGCATGAAGAGGAGATTCTGGACACATGCACACAAAGGGAAAATCATGTGAAGACACAGGGAGAAGATGCTACTTACAAGCCAAGGAGAGAGGCCTCAGAAGAAATCAACCCTGCTGATACCTTGATCTTGGACGTCTAGTCCCCAACAGGTTAATACACTCCTCACCTTTCATTTTTCTGATGGGGGCTTATATACATAAGCTTGGTGTATCCTCAAGAGGAAAAATGAAAGAGTTTAACATTCTGAGGAAAAGAAGAAAGGGCCGGAGAGAAATTAAAAGTGAACACTACCTACTGAAACAGACAAGTAGCACAAGTGGATTTAACATGTTTAAATTTACCTACTGTTTAGCAAATTACCAAGTACTTCACAAATCTTGGGAACCTGTTAGAAACTCAAATTCTCCGGGCCCTTGAAGATTTGATTAAAGAATCAGAAAAGGGGGATGGGTGGGAGTTGGCAGCAATCTGTTTTAACAAATCTAAGCGATTCCGATTAGCTAAAGTGTAATTTGTGAGAAACACTGAGATAGGGTATGGCCCCTGTCAAGACCAGCTGGGAGGGTGACGTGACTTTTTTCACGGTTGTTAGTGGCCCCGCAAGGATGGTCTCCTTGACAACTGGCCGCGGAGCGCGAAGGACTCCAAAGTTCTAACCCCTCGGTGAGTTTTATACCTGGAAGAGCGACCGGACGCAGCGCGGCCGCTCGGGGTCTCTAAGGTGAGCGGCGCCCTCCAGCCTCCAGGCAGCGGCGCAGCG